TAAAAAAAAGCGCGCGTGGCCTAACGGTTATCTCGCTTGCCTTACACGCAGAAGGCCAGGGTTCGATTCCTGGCCGCGGCTACACATTTTTGTTGACACTGTAATGTGATGTTCTGGTGAATTCAAGAACCGTCTTGCTGATTCGAGGTTAGAATGTTCTACGCGCCGAACCTTCTACGCCGAACGATCCAGAAACCCACGAGGGTACATAAATGATTCCGCAAGGCGAGCGGAGTCAGTCTCGCCCCAGCGTTCGACTCTGCTGCTACGCCGACTTCGACGCCCGCGACGCTCTGTTATCTTTCTTTTTCCTTTTATCTTTGGCACAAGTTCGCCACATTAAACGTTTATTTCGTTCTGTGTATTTATTGTTCTTTTGGTCACCACCCGTGACAATAGTACGTAAGGAACTCTGCATGGCGAACGGAGTCGGTTTCGCCCAGCGTTCGATTCCGCTGTCACGCAGACTTCGACGCCCGCGACGCTCTGCTTTCTTCTGTTCCCTTTCTATTTTTGGCACATGTCCGCCCCATTAACGTTTAGTTTCTCTAGTTATTATCGCTTGTCATTCGTGACATAATGAATCGGGTAGCGTCCGCTATCCGAGGTTCGCGTAGCTGTTCTACAGGAATTGCAGCCAGCCATTGAGACCGACCCGTTGATCTTTCGGAAACTTGTGCTCTCTGCCGCACAATGCCACCTTCAGATGCACGACATGTGAGGCAGCTCTTCACGCAACATTTTGGGAGTATTCTTTCTGGAGCCGGTCACGGGAATTCACCATGGGCACTCACTACTAATTGGCAAGGCTTAAAAGAACAAAACTACTCATCTTGAAGTACAGAACAGCGAGCGGAACAAACATAACTGCGAAGGAATCGCACGGCGAACGGATCACGCAACGCAACGCATTTCGTCTGCTACGTGCAGAAAAAAAAAAGACCGCATGGTCAAGTGTAGCCACGTGACTTCCGCCACTCATTCTCTCCTCTCCACTTCTCCGTGCTGTGCGGGAGTTTCGGTTTCGGTTTCGAGCAGTTGCGTTTTTAGAGCGCAGCACTTTGGCGCCCGTGTCCGGCTTGAGCGGCGTCGCCGTCGCCGTCGCCGTAACCGCGCGGTGCATTATGGGTAAATTTCCCCGCTAAATTTAGCGAAAAAAGATCCCCACTAAATCTAGCGGAAAAATTTCCCCGCTCAACCTAGCGGAAAAGTTTCCCCGCTAGATTTAGCGGAAAATTTCCCCGCTAAATCTAGCGGAAAATTTCCCCGCTAAATCTACCGGAAACATTTCTCTGGGGGACCACGTGTCCTGGAGAGTCACCTGGCCCCCAGGACACGTGACCCCCCCCCCCCCCCCGAGGTCACGTGACCCCAAGGGTGACTAACACTCCCCCGGTCACTTGGGGGTCACATGACCTAGGGGGATCACGTGACCCCCACGTGGACTCCCTACCCCGAGGTCACGTGACCCCTCCAAGGTCACGTCCCACCCACGTCACGTGACCCCCCCGAGAACACGTGACCCTCAATACCTTTCCCACCTCCTCCTCCTCAAGCGCCTAACAAAAAAAAACAATTTTGGGAGTGTCAGTGTCCTTTTAAGCGCCGTTCACACATTTATAATCGAGTACGACTGAGAGAGACAAGACCGGTCTTTAAACCTCTTACGACGTCTTACGACCAGCTGTGCAGCAGCGCATCCGGTCCTAAGACGTCGCAAGAGGCTTAAAAACCGGTCTTGTCTCTCTCTGCTGTACTCGGTTACAAGCGTGTGACCGAGCCTTTAGGACTAACTCCGTAGCAACGAAACCGGTCCTAAGACGTCGCAAGAGGCTTAAAAACCGGTCTTGTCTCTCTCTGCTGTACTCGGTTACAAGCGTGTGACCGAGCCTTTAGGACTAACTCCGTAGCAACGAAACCGGTCCTAAGACGTCGCAAGAGGCTTAAAAACCGGTCTTGTCTCTCTCTGCTGTACTCGGTTACAAGCGTGTGACCGAGCCTTTAGGACTAACTCCGTAGCAACGAAACCGGTCCTAAGACGTCGCAAGAGGCTTAAAAACCGGTCTTGTCTCTCTCTGCTGTACTCGGTTACAAGCGTGTGACCGAGCCTTTAGGACTAACTCCGTAGCAACGAAACCGGTCCTAAGACGTCGCAAGAGGCTTAAAAACCGGTCTTGTCTCTCTCTGCTGTACTCGGTTACAAGCGTGTGACCGAGCCTTTAGGACTAACTCCGTAGCAACGAAACCGGTCCTAAGACGTCGCAAGAGGCTTAAAAACCGGTCTTGTCTCTCTCTGCTGTACTCGGTTACAAGCGTGTGACCGAGCCTTTAGGACTAACTCCGTAGCAACGAAACCGGTCCTAAGACGTCGCAAGAGGCTTAAAAACCGGTCTTGTCTCTCTCTGCTGTACTCGGTTACAAGCGTGTGACCGTGCCTTTAGGACTAACTCCGTAGCTCGAAACCGGTCCTAAGACGTCGCAAGAGGCTTAAAAACCGGTCTTGTCTCTCTCTGCTGTACTCGGTTACCACCGTGTGGCCGAGCCTTTAGGACTAACTCCGTAGCAACGAAACCGGTCCTAAGACGTCGCAAGAGGCTTAAAAACCGGTCTTGTCTCTCTCTGCTGTACTCGGTTACAAGCGTGTGACCGAGCCTTTAGGACTAACTCCGTAGCATCGAAAGCGGTCCTAAGACGTCGAGAGAGGCTTAAAAACCGGTCTTGTCTCTCTCTGCTGTACTCGGTTACAAGCGTGTGACCGAGCCTTTAGGACTAACTCCGTAGCAACGAAACCGGTCCTAAGACGTCGCAAGAGGCTTAAAAACCGGTCTTGTCTCTCTCTGCTGTACTCGGTTACAAGCGTGTGACCGAGCCTTTAGGACTAACTCCGTAGCAACGAAACCGGTCCTAAGACGTCGCAAGAGGCTTAAAAACCGGTCTTGTCTCTCTCTGCTGTACTCGGTTACAACCGTGTGGCCGAGCCTTTAGGACTAACTCCGTAGCAACGAAACCGGTCCTAAGACGTCGCAAGAGGCTTAAAAACCGGTCTTGTCTCTCTCTGCTGAACTCGGTTACAAGCGTGTGCCCGAGCCTTTAGGACTAACTCCGTAGCAACGAAACCGGTCCTAAGACGTCGCAAGAGGCTTAAAAACCGCTCTTGTCTCTCTCTGCTGTACTCGGTTACAAGCGTGTGACCGAGCCTTTAGGACTAACTCCGTAGCAACGAAACCGGTCCTAAGACGTCCCAAGAGGCTTAAAAACCGGTCTTCTCTCTCTCTGCTGTACTCGGTTACAACCGTGTGGCCGAGCCTTTAGGACTAACTCCGTAGCAACGAAACCGGTCCTAAGACGTCGCAAGAGGCTTAAAAACCGGTCTTGTCTCTCTCTGCTGTACTCGGTTACAAGCGTGTGACCGAGCCTTTAGGACTAACTCCGTAGCAACGAAAGCGGTCCTAAGACGTCGCAAGAGGCTTAAAAACCGGTCTTGTCTCTCTCTGCTGTACTCGGTTACAAGCGTGTGACCGAGCCTTTAGGACTAACTCCGTAGCAACGAAACCGGTCCTAAGACGTCGCAAGAGGCTTAAAAACCGGTCTTGTCTCTCTCTGCTGTACTTGGTTACAAGCGTGTGACCGAGCCTTTAGGACTAACTCCGTAGCAACGAAACCGGTCCTAAGACGTCGCAAGAGGCTTAAAAACCGGTCTTGTCTCTCTCTGCTGTACTCGGTTACAACCGTGTGGCCGAGCCTTTAGGACTAACTCCGTAGCAACGAAACCGGTCCTAAGACGTCGCAAGAGGCTTAAAAACCGGTCTTGTCTCTCTCTGCTGTACTCGGTTACAAGCGTGTGACCGAGCCTTTAGGACTAACTCCGTAGCAACGAAACCGGTCCTAAGACGTCGCAAGAGGCTTAAAAACCGGTCTTGTCTCTCTCTGCTGTACTCGGTTACAAGCGTGTGACCGAGCCTTTAGGACTAACTCCGTAGCAACGAAACCGGTCCTAAGACGTCGCAAGAGGCTTAAAAACCGGTCTTGTCTCTCTTGGTCGTACTCAGTTACAAGTCTGTGAACGAGCCTTGAATGTTATACGGCTAAGCTTGCAATCACTGGCGCCGGAATTTTGCGAGATTATGCATTTTTGTGTAAAAGTGTGCATAGCAGAATACGTTGCCCTATGCTTGTTTCACTGTTATTTATAGATGTACCTCGGGTGAATTGCCGTCTCCACAATACATGCAAGACATGTGTTCATTTCCCCCATTTTACGAATTCAGAGCAATTATAATGCAGTGAGATCGGTGGTTAACATTTTCGGGAGTGAGATGGATTTTAAAAGTGTACTAACCTTCCACATTTACTAACACCATTGGTCGGATTTTCTGCGATCTGTTATTTTGTGCGTTTTTTTCATGAAAGTGTATGTGTCTGTATGAGTGTGTACCAGTAGTATATGGCCTTGGTTATATCAAAACACAATACAAATAAATCTTGGAAAAAGAAAAAAACACGAAAAAATAATGTTTTCAAAGACTATACAAATTTAATTACGAAACGCTGTGTCAGAATAGTCAGCTGAGTTCTAATTATAAAATAAAATTATTCAATGCCTATTTTTGCCTCTCATCCTCAAGAGAAAATGGATACCCAGTCAATAATATATCCATGTTTTCTTTTGTCGTGTGGTGGAACGACACGATTTCGGGATATAAAAACATAAAAAAAAACACTTTACTTACCTAAAGCTTGTTCACCTTTGTAACAAGTAGTGTAACGACGCGATTAGGAAAATCAAAAACAACGCGCCAAAAACAGAGCCTAGCAGAGGGAGTTGACTGACAACTGAAAGTTTTATTTTACATTATACACTTTTACCAGCTCGTCTGCGCTGCCTCTGACTTTCGTTTTCATTTGGAGTTACTTGCTTTCGCACGTTTGAGTTCTTTCCCAGTCGCCCAAAACTGTCTGTACGATCTTCACAATTAATTGTTGTCTCTTCGTTTTCACAGGATGCGATTTGTGGCTGAGAAAAACCGAGTTGAAAAGTATAGTGGATTCCCTGAAAGAGGATATTATAAAAAAAGAAAAGGAAGTAATGGAGTACTGGAAGGTTAAATTTGGAATCGATGAAAACTCTACTCTGACAAGAAATCGAAAACAATTTCTAGAATCTACCGTAGGAAGTTTCATTGAAAGATGGTTTCAAGATGTCGTATTGAAACGGATTTCCCCCAATTGCGTTCTCGCCTTCATGATAACTTGTGGAAGCCCTTTGTTTCAAGTTTACAATCCGGTAACCTGTAATACCACACTAACAGAGCAATACGACTCAATTTCCTAGAATTGTCATTCGTGATCCTCAACTGCACGTCGGGTGGTGACGGAGCAGCCATATGTATGCAAACTTGAGATTAAAACAATATTCCACTGTGTCGTGTCTTGCATCTATAGAAATATAATGAGTCGGGGAAACCACCGATTTCATTCAGTTCTGACAGCAAACGAAGCAAAAGGACACACAGGGTATTTCAGCGAACTTGCGCCGAGACTTTGAAAAACCACGGTGCGCGCTACGCGTTTCCAACAGGCCCAATATTGTACAAATGAGCAAGTAAAGGTATTTTTATTCAATGGGCCAAATCGGCTAATGAGCGCAGAATAACTAGCAAACTTTTTAAATCCTATTTTTGTGCGCCTCCTTCCAATACAAATGTCGAGTTCAAAACCATACGATCTTGTCGTTTTCACGAAGGTAGCCTTATCGTGTCTAATGTTTTAAAACGTTAAAAAAAAAAACACATAGGTCTGTCTCCGCCGTCTGCGCATCCCGACTTGTAAGCGCTGAGACCTTCCTAGTCAAGGAGGTGTTGGGTCAGGGGTCCCGAAACGCGACCCGCGGCCCCGATCCATCTTGCGGAGCAGGTCCGGCGGCCCGCCTGCAGATGGCAGCAGTCTTTACAGTGACGCCCGGCCCGCGTTCTACTACAATTAACGTAAAAACATGCGCGCGTAAAAAAGAGATGTGAAAGAAACGGTGCCATGACGCGCACTAAAGGCGCAAGCGAGGACATTAAAAAATGAGAGTAATCTGCATCAAAATAGGTTTTCGTTCGCCTTATCATTTATCGTGTGTTGTGATTACCAGCAATGCTTCTTTGTCGTCCCTCGATTCATGTCTATGAAACTTTGTTAGAATTCTTTTGCATTCTTACGTGTATCGTTCTTAGTGTCCTGTATTGTTTATTATTATTATAAGACTTACGATTTTCCTTAGGCATTTACCCTGTGGGAATATGCAAAAGTTCTTGTGCGTTTTGATTTATGCCTGGCGAATTTGTCTCATAATTACTTTGAAATGTCATAACTAGCAACATATCAGATTTAAAGTTATGTATGTATATGTACTAGGCGTTATGTTTTCTTTCTAGTTTACCTGTTGGTATTTAAAAAAGTTATTTACGTTTATTTAATTTTTTATTTGACTCATTTATATCGCACTTCCCCCCCCCCCCCCCCCCCCCCCCCCCCCCCCGAGATTGCAACATCTTCCAAATCTCACCCCTGAGCGGAAACATTTGTAGACCCTTTTAGAGGACCTAGATTTAAGAGAGGGAGCAACTGAAACCACAAAGAACTTGCTAACATAACGCTAGAGCACAGTCGCACTGGCTGTTAAAACACCATCACTGAATTTAACTGGTTGCTGATGGTTCAGTTGTTTAAACGGCTCATGCTCCTTTAGGATTAAAATGACGCTCCCAATCTTGCAACCGAACCTGAACAGTTGAAGACGGAGAAGATGTCGTTCCTGACGCCCAAGAGGCGACAAAGCAACTGTTGCGACAATGGTGAATCACAGACATGGGTAATAAGCCACAAGGCAAGGACAAAGACACGCCGTCCGCCGTTCTTGAAAGCAGGTATTCACGCCTCAGAGGCGAGCGCTCTCATGTTCCTGTCACACATAGGGCCGCAAGCTGATTATTACCTTAAAGCCGGAATCACATGTTTATACACGTACAACAGACAGTTTGCCGACATTGGTCACACCCATATCTGTGGTTCGAATGCCGCGTGTCAAATTTATCCTTGAACTCGTTGGCATACTGCATTCGAAGTACTGATCTCGTGGTGACGAGTTTGAATCTATATATGATCTATAATCAGCGCGACCCCGGATTAAGAGTCTCGCCAGTAAGTGCCTGAACTCTGTTTCTCCTTACGATGGGCCGTAGCGGACGCTACAGCAATTCCACCAACATAGCGCTGTGAATATACCACGTGAGACATATTCAAACTTAGTGGAATGGAATAAAGCAATTCAGCCATTCCAGGAGTGGGAATATGCCCAGCGTATCCGTTCCCAGGTGCTGAAAGGATTTGAAGTAGCGGAAACTAATATTCCGGAATAAAGTTGGAATGGAATGGGAGTGCTCACTGCGCATCACTAGACATCTGGATCCCCAGAGTCACGAAGCCGGGTCATCTGTTTTTGAAAGCTATAGTCAGCTGAATGGTTGCATGGCTTGCGCAGATGTCCTCCTTGGAGCTATATGTGAGACGATCTGCGGAAAACTTCCAAGAGAATCACCAAGTACCGAGCGAGATAGACAGACTCCAGGAGAGAACTTCGCGGTAGTCCGCTAGATCCACGGTTTCACCCACCGACTCAAAAATATCGCTGCACGAGAGTGTCAGGATTGTGTGCTCGGCACCGAACAAAGGTATCGCTGCACGACAGAGTGTCAGGATTGTGTGCTCGGCACCACACGGTAAATCAGGCCAAGAACCCCCAGCGAACCTGCAACACTGCGCACAGGACTGAGTACGACACGTGCCAGACCGGTGTTGTGTACAAGATTCCAATGTCATGCGGCAGCTGCTACATTAAACAGACGGGGCGCTGCATTAATGACAGAGTCAGGGAGCACGCGGCGCCAGTGCAGGGCATGGGGGCTGGGCACATTGCAGCCCATTGTCGCATGTGCGGGTGCACGCCAAGTTTTAGCAGCGTTTTTATTATTAAAATACACAAAAATGCCTTGGCGCGCGGGATTTTCGCGGCCCTGGCCATTGAGAAAAACGCCGATGGACTTTTTTGAGCATGCCCTCCAAAACGGTCAGCATGAGAGAAAGGCATTTTTTGCAGTGTGGCACGGCCCCGTGAAAGGGAGTAACAGGAATATGTGTCGGGTGGTAGTTTGTGGGTTGGGTCAGCTAGGTGTTAGTGACCAAATTTAATAATTTAAATTTTTTTTTAATTTAGTATTTTAATTTAGTAGTGTAATGTAAGGATTTAGGGTGATTTATTAGCACTACTTTTGGGAGTGAATCTTTGGGTCAAAGTGATGAACAAGAAGTATAAAGTCTTAGTTGATAGTCATGGGTGTGTAGGTCTCTGTTTCCCCCGGTCTGTATTTTGTCCCTGTCATTCTAGCTGACCGTTCACTTTTGCATTATATAACTAATAGCTCAACTTCAGCCTGTAACTTAATATTGCGCTGGCGTGCCTGTACTAGCAGAAGCATGGCGGCGGGCTGTCCTTCTGCTTGCAATCATCTATAATAACGTTGATGCCGACAGCTGGTGCTCCCGAAACAATAATGCAAACAAACTGCCGTCGTAGAAGGTCAGTGCTAGGAGCTCATGCAGGGACACGCTTTTTCAAGCGCTTCTGCGCCAAGAATAGAGTAACAACATCAGGTTTTGTTCACCTGCCCGCCCACGATCCCGGAAAAATAGCCGATATACCGCCCGAGCTCATTAGAGAGTTTTAGTAGATCGTGTTTTCAGGCCACGCTAATCGTAGCGGGAGCTCGGGCTGCCACTTTGACGCATGTTCTGAAGCGCGCGCTCGAAGCGGTAGCGGGCCTTTGAAAACAATCTACTAAAACTCCTTATTAGCAAGTCAATTCGGATCCACAATTTTCACGAAACCAACACGATAAAAAATATATAAAAAGCGACACTGTCATTGAAAAGAAGTGTCTCGCTAGAAACTGAATTATTGTTAATATCGATTATTATTATTTATTTTTCCTGATATTATCATTTAGACATATGCGAGTGAAGTGAAAACATATATAACTTTTTTAAGTTTTGTCTTATTAGCAATACAAATCAAAGATCCAATGCACCTCAATAATAAGATACACTATAAAACCAGATTGTTGCAGAAGCTACATGGCGGTGACATGCCTCCATAAAACAAATACAATCCTCGACGATTATATAAAAATGCACTGGTCATCGACACTCGGTAAAGAGAGCGTTGCTGTATTTCGAACATTACACAGAAATCACTGTTGTGGGACACAACAATGTCATGTTGAGTGAAAGACTCCAGCTCAAACCAGACCTCATATTAGAAACCGCCGTCTCCACGGCGCGCAATACAGAGACAGTGAAGCAGCAGCTATAAAAACTTCGAGCACTAGCATAGTGAAACGCGACCGTCGTGGAAGTCAACACTTCTGTGTGGAGAGTCAAAAGCAACAAGAAGCAAGCGTTTCACACTAGTGAACTACACGAAGGAGTTCTCTGTCCATGCAAGTGACGCGGCTCTACTACTCGTCGACAATCGCGCGAAAAGTGCCAAGCAGCTGACAACACTGGCAGAGGATATGGCAAAAAATGACACTTTACATCAGTCTGCCTGTCAGCGGAAAAGAATCACTCAGATACACAAAGCCATGTTGCACTCGAGGAGGCCTACTGTTATCGTAGATTCCAAAAGTTTAAGGCGCTGCCGGCAAGTGCAGACTGAATTCCCTTGATACAATTCAAGCTTTCAAGTACCGCCAACCATTGTGAGAACGTTCAAGACACGCGCCAGGAGCGGGTGCTCCATTGTCATTCGCTCCCAAGAATCGCTCATTTCAGTGTGGCGCCGCCAACTGGGCCGCTCGAGACACGGGCCTCGTGCACTGTCGCATTTGATGCCACTTGCAAGACGAACGCCAATACATCGAAGAGGTTTATTCCAGACCACGCTGGTCCAGACAGATAAGGTAGTACCGCTTCATTCCACCGTGCACTCTTAGAAAAAAGGGTACGGATAGTCCTCCCTTACGGCAGGAGCGGTCTTGTAACCTATGTTCCTTTAGAAAGCGAGAAACCTTCGTCCCTGAAGCAGGGGAGCAAAGTTCCTCCGTCGCTTGCATCTCAATATGGCGGCCCCGAATCGAGCAAATCGAGCCCAATAAGGTTTAACGCTACGTCTCTTGTACGGGACGAGAGCAGCAGCAGATGAAAGCGTAACACGATCTCTCCGGAAACTGTGTTTATTTCCGAAGCCAGATTCCCCCCACAGGTACAGAAACCTGCGTTTCGAAAGCAGTT